AGAGGGGTGTTGATATTTGGGCTCTAGACTTTGATGCTATTCTCACTGCCATGTATGCCATGTCTATTAGTGGAGAGGGTGCTCAGTACTTGCGTGTTCCGCCCGACCCGGGCATTCAGGCCAGTCCGGCCGCCGCTCTAGGTGCTAGTGCGTCCGCTCCCACAGGTCCTGGTGAGGCTGCTGCCCTAGGTGCTAGTGCGTCTGTGCCCCCTGGTACTGAGTCGACTGCAGCACTGCACACCTTCACCCTGGACTCAGGTGCTTCTCGCTCTTTCTTTCGTGACCGTACTGTCCTTGAGCCACTCGCTCGGCCAGTTGCTGTCTCCCTTGCTGACCCCTCTGGGGGTCCGGTCATTGCGACCTCCTCCACTGTCCTTCCTTGTCCTGCGGTCCCGTCCGGCACGCTGTCAGGTCTCTACCTCCCCTCGTTCTCTACGAACTTGGTGGCGGGTTGTGCGCTCCAGGACTCGGGTGTTCACCAGTTCACCCCTGCCTACGAACGCGTGACACACTGCACGTGTGCTCGGACGGGTCGCCACCTGGCTACTTTCACTCGAGAGCCGGGGTCGGACCTGTACACACTGACCACTGAGTCCCCTCAGGTAGCTGCGTCTGCGTCTACGTCTGCGTCTGCGTCAGGTCAGCTGTCCGCCCCCTGCTCGTGTCGCTCTCTGGCGCATGAGACTGTCCTTTGGCACCACCGCCTTGGTCACCCGTCTGTGCAGCGCCTTCGGGCCATGCACAAACGGGACCTTGTTGCTGGTCTTCCCAGGGTGCTCCCTCCCCTTCCCGACTCGCCTGCTCCTCCCTGTCTTCCCTGTGTCGAGGGGCGGCAGCGCGCCGCTCCTCACTCCTCCTCCTTTCCCCCGACGACTGCTCCTTTGCAGACGCTCCACATGGACGTGTGGGGCCCAGCCCGCGTCCGTGGTCAGGGTCAGGAGAGGTACTTCCTGATTGTTGTTGACGACTTCTCGCGCTACACCACGGTCTTCCCCTTGCGCACCAAGGGTGACGTCCCTGATGTCTTGATCCCTTGGATCCGCAGATCTCGTCTCCAGCTCAGTGAGCGTTTCCGCTCCGACTTCCCTGTCCTGCGTCTGCACTCTGACAGAGGTGGAGAGTTTTCCTCTGGCCTCTTGGAGGCCTTCTGTCAGCAGGAGGGCATTGAGCAGTCGTTCACGCTTCCGGCCTCTCCACATCAGAATGGGGTTGCTGAGCGCCGCATTGGCTTGGTCATGGAGGTCGCTCGTACCTCCTTGGTTCATGCGGCTGCCCCCCACTTTCTGTGGCCGTTTGCAGTCCGATACGCTGCGCATCAGCTCAACCTCTGGCCCCGTGTCTCCTTGCCCGAGACTTCTCCGACACTGCGTTGGACGGGAGAGGCCGGCGATGCGTCGCGTTTTCGGGTCTAGGGATCCCGAGCTTTTGTTCGCGACACGTCCGCGGACAAGCTCTCCCGTCGCGCTGTTCCCTGCGTCTTCCTTGGCTTTGTCCCGGACGCCCCTGGTTGGCAGTTCTACCACCCCACCTCGCGGCGTGTCCTGGCCTCTCAGGACGTCACTTTTGACGAGTCCGTCCCCTACTACCGCCTCTTCCCCTACCGCACTGCCCCGCTCCCCCCCCCGCCTCTCTTCCTCGCTCCAGGTGCTGAGGTACCAGACCCCCTCCCCCCTCAGGGTGCCGCTCCCTCAGGTGTGTCCCAGGTAGACCCGGGTGAGCCTGTCGAGGTAGCTGTTGACTCTCGTCCTGCGTCTAGGGGTGCTGAGCCTGGAGGTGCTGAGTCTGGGGGTGCTGAGCCTGGGGGTGTTGAGCCTGGAGGTGCGGAGCCTGGGGGTGTTGAGCCTGGAGGTGCGGACCCTGGAGGTGTGGAGCCTGGAGGTGCTGAGCCTGGGGGTGCGGAGTCTGGGGGTGCTGAGTCTGGGGGTACTGAGACTGAGCGTGCTACACCTGGAGGAGCCCTCTCCTCCCAGCAGCTGCAGGAGAGGTACCTCGAGTACTGCCGCCTCCGGAGAGGTGCTGCTGGAGCTCGTCCCGGTACTTCCCCTCCTACCCAGGAGCTCCCCCCCATTCAGCAGATCCGAGAGTGGTACACGCGACGCTGCAGTCTTCGGAGTGGTGCTCCGGGTGCTGCGGACCCTGGGGGTAGCACTGCTGCTGGTACTGAGGACCCGGGCGTTGGAGCTGCTGCTGGTGCTGGGGACCCGGGCGTTGGAGCTGCTACTGGTGCTGAGGACCCGAGCGGTGGCGCTGCTGCTGGTGCTGAGGACTCGAGTGGTGGAGCTGCTGCTGGTGCTGAGGACCCGGACGGTGGAGCTGCTACTGGTGCTGAGGACCCGGGCGTTGGAGCTGCTGCTGGAGCTGCGGACCCGGGCGGTGGAGCTGCTGCTGGTGCTGAGGTCCCGGCCGGTGGAGCTGCTGCTGGTGCTGAGGACCCGGACGTTGGAGCTGCTGCTGGTACTGAGGACCCTGCCACTGGTGTCTCTGCTGGTTCTGGAGACGCTGAGCGGCCGCGACCGTACTTCGTACCGCTCCTTCAGCAGGTTCTTGGACAGGCTCCTCCTCCTTGTCCTCCTCCCTCCTTAGAGTGTCCTCCGCCTGTCCAGCCGCAGTCACAGTTCCCGCCTGCCTCGCCTCTCCCTGCTCCCTCTCCTTACGCTGGTCCCACAGGAGGTCTTACAGAGCGTCGTGAGCCTGAGTCTCGTCCTGCTTCGCCTGTTCGTACTGCTCGCACTGGTCGTCGTGTCCCACGTGAGCGTCCTCCTCCTGTCCCTGGCACTCACTACATGACTCTGCGTCCCTCCACTACTCCTCAGCGTGTCCCGCTACCGTCTCCTCCTGCTTCCTCTCTGCCTACTCTTCCTGACCCGGAGTCTGACTCCCGTCGTGCTGCCAGTCCCACTGTCACCCGTCTCCTCGCTACTGTTGTCACTGACCCTACCTTTGAGTCCTCTGCTGCGTCTGCTCTAGTCGCTGAGTTGATAGACTTTGCTGCCCACTGTCGTCTAGACTACGCCACTAGCCTTGTTGCTGAGTCTGAGTCTGTCTGTCCTCCGTCCATCGGGGGTGAGTGTGCTCTTGGCACGGACGTCCTTGAGGACAGACAGGAGGAGTTCCAGTGCTTTGCTGCTGCTTTGCCCCACCTCGTGTCCATGCTAGTTGCCCCTGAGGGAGACCCGGATGCACCAGACATCCCGACCCCGCGCACTTACGCTGAGGCGATGGCGGGTCCCTACTCCTCTCAGTGGCAGACAGCCATGGACGCAGAGATGGCTTCCTGGAAGTCCACACGCACCTACGTCGACGAGGTTCCCCCACCTGGGGCGAACATCGTCAGTGGCATGTGGATTTTCAGGGTGAAGCGGCCACCGGGTTCTCCTCCTGTCTTCAAGGCGCGCTACGTGGCTCGAGGCTTCAGTCAGCGAGAGGGAGTTGACTTCTTTCAGACCTTCTCCCCCACCCCGAAGATGACCACTCTTCGGGTGCTGCTGCACATAGCCGCTCAGCGCGACTACGAGCTTCACTCACTTGACTTCAGCACTGCTTTCTTGCAGGGCAGCCTGCACGAGGAGATCTGGCTGCGCCGCCCTCCTGGCTTCACTGGGTCGGTTCCTCCTGGTACCCAGTGGAGGCTTCAGCGGCCGGTCTACGGTCTCCGCCAGGCACCGCGTGAGTGGCACGACACACTGAGGACGACACTTGCGGCTCTTGGGTTCGCTCCCTCTACTGCTGACCCGTCACTGTTTCTACGCACAGACACCTCACTGCCGCCGTTCTACATCCTCGTGTACGTCGACGACTTGGTCTTTGCCACTGCTGACACCGCGGCACTCGCCCACGTGAAGTCGGAGCTGCAGAGGAGACACACGTGCACAGACCTGGGTGAACTGACAAGCTATCTTGGCTTGCGGATCACCCGGGACAGAGCACGGCGCACCATCACCTTGACTCAGTCACACATGGTGCAGCAGATCCTCCAGCGCTTCCGCTTCACGTACTCCTCGCCTCAGTCCACTCCTCTGCCTACCGGTCACTCGCTCTCAGCTCTGCCTTCGGATGAGTCCGTAGAGCCGAGTGGCCCGTATCCAGAGCTTGTGGGCTGCCTCATGTACCTGATGACCTGCACTCGACCTGACCTTGCATACCCTCTTAGCATCCTTGCACGCTATGTCGCTCCTGGCCGTCACAGGAAGGAGCACATGGATGCCGCTAAGAGGGTGTTGCGCTACTTGTGCAGTACGTCGGGCATGGGGCTAGTGCTTGGAGGGCGAGACCGAGTTGTACTTACTGGACACTCAGACGCGTCTTGGGCGGACGACCAGGCTACTCAGCGGTCGTCTCAGGGTTACACCTTCAGCCTTGGCTCTGGCTCAGTTTCTTGGCGTTCTACACGCTCTTCTTCTGTTCTCAGCTCCAGTTGTGAGGCTGAGATCTACGCCACAGCCATGGCTGCCCAGGAGCTACGCTGGCTGACCTACCTGCTGACCGACTTGGGTGAGCGGCCTCGTTCTCCTCCAGTGCTTTACGTCGACAACCAGGCTGCCATTGCCTTGTGTGAGGAGCACAGACTGGAGCACAGAACGAAGCACATCGCCCTGCGGTACTTCCTTGCTCGAGAGCTGCAGCAGCGCGGTCAGCTTTGTCTGCGTTACGTGGCCACTGAGGCCAACCTTGCTGATGTGTTCACCAAGGCGCTTCCGCCTTGTGACCATCAGCGCTTCTGTACTCTGCTAGGCCTTGTGCCTACTGGACCTCACTTACTTACCTCTTGACCTTGCTTGTACTGTGATCACTATATATATATATCTACCTGCATGTTTACTCTTGCTAGGTTGTGATCACTGTATCTCTTGCTCTGTTATAAACCTGCATGTGAACTGGTCTTGTGACCACTAGCTTGTGCTCAGAATTTGTGTGGAATCCTTGAGATCCACCCTGAGCTTGTTGTTGCCTTGCTTTGCCTTGACTGGTCTTGTGACCCCTAGGTCTCCCCCACTTTGCCTATGGGGGTGTGTCAAACATTGTATATGTTATATTTGTGTAGGCTGTAGTGGGTTAGCCTGTAGGGGGGTCACAACATTAGGGTTTCATATTTGTACTCACAATCCTTTCTAGTTCACCATTCCAGTCTGTTGTTTCAACACTTGCTGAGCTGGCAAGGCACCCGGCCGTGCTGGAACGTCTCCAAGCTGAGGTGGCGGCGCATGCCAAGTCAGCTGCAGTGGGGGATGAAAAACAGGGCGCTGAAAATGCATCTCTGCCTGTGCAAGAGATGCCGTATCTTCAGGCGGAGATCAAGGAAACTCTGAGGCACCACCCACCAGTACCGCTCCTCATCCCTCACGTGACAACTGCCAGCGTTTCTCTTGGCGGTTACACAATCCCTCCAAACAGAATCATTCAAATCAACGGCTGGGGTCTTTCTCATGACCCAAAGGTCTGGACCAACCCCAATGAATTTGACCCCAGCAGGTTTCTCGGCCCATCTGCCCCTGATGTGACCGGGCAGGATTTCAGTGTGCTGCCATTTGGTTCGGGCAGGCGTGGGTGTGTGGGGATGAACCTGGGTATGGATCTATCTGCTCGCATGCTGGCAAATTTCATTCATTGGTTCAGCTTGAAACTGCCTGAAGATGTGGTGAAGTCCGGTGGAGTGGACTTGGGGGAGGAGTTTAGTCTCACTATGGCCCTGGCAAAGCCACTGCGGCTTGTGCTCCTGGAACGGAAGTGAAGTGGTGCTGCTGGCGCAATCACATCAGCAAGCACATAATGGTTCAGTTCACTTCATTTGCGGTTGCATGGTCAGACCCAGTTACATGTCAAGGGAATCTTTGTGCACCAAACCAACCAACAGAAGCCGAGGCTGGTGGGAGTTGCATGAGATAGCTGAAGCTTCATGCATGCAGCCTTTTGTGTCCCGTCTTGCATGTGTAATACGCCGATCTTATTGTGTTGTGTGTGAGTGAGCTGCCTTTCAACAATGCAATGGTGAAATATCCCGACGTTCTTTTTGATCCCCCAAGTGTACTTCTTTGCTCCCGTTGCTAAAACAGGTACCAATTCAAGTACGGTAACATAATATGTGGGGGGGCTCTCCATGTCAAGAAAGTCAAGACAGCATACACACATGAAGAACAAAGGGGGTGAATATGATGAGAGTTGGTGGCACATCGAAGGCTGGGGGATATGCTGTGTGGAGGTTGGGTGGCATCACATTGCGGAGCAATGTGGATTTCCCATCTAAACCTTTCACACGGAAAAGGGAGTGAGACCGCATGTTGAGGCATGTTGCTGACAGCCATACATAATGTACAATGCCAATGAAGGGGGAACCAGCAGTTGCTGCTTAGTGCGTATAGGAGGACTCTTGAGGCACCGCAATGTCAAACACTGTACATGTGTTATTGCTCTGTAGGTTACAGTGGGTTAGCCTTTAGGGGGTACACAATTCTAGGGTTTGATACTTTTACTCCAATTCTCTCATAGTTCAATCACTTCGTGTTTCTGACATGGTATCAGAGCAGGGAGCCGACAGCTGACCTGACGCAGACGCAGACGCAGCTACCTGAGGGGACTCAGTGGTCAGTGTGTACAGGTCGGACCCCGGCTGCCGAGTGAAGGTAGCCAGGTGGCGACCCGTCCGAGCACACGTACAATGGGTCACCCGCTCATAGGCAGGGGTGAACTGGTGAACACCCCCATCCTGGAGAGCAGAGCCCGCCACCAAGTTCGTACGTCACTGGAGCTGAGAGTGGTGCTGGTTCGTTGTCTCCTGGAGGTGCCCACGTCGCTGGTCCCGGAGGTGCTCGTACCGCTGGTACTCGAGCTGCTGGGGCTGGTGGTGCTGTGTCTGAGGGTGCTCCTACTGGGGACACTGCGACTGGGGGTGCTGGTTCTGGAGGCGCTGCTGCTGGTGGAGACTGTCCTGGAGGAGTTGCCGCTGGGGGTGGTGGAGCTACTGGAGGTACAGGAGCTGCTGTAGGTGCTGGAGCTGCTGGTGCTGGCGACACTGCACAGTCGCGCCTGTTCTTCGCTCCGCCGTCTCCGTCGTCTCTGCCGCCGCCTGACTCTGTCCTTCTCCAGGTTCTTAGTCTTCCGTCTTCTACCGGTCTTCCCCTCCTGCCTGACTCACCGCTTCCTGCTCCTTCTCCTTACACTGAGCAGTCCAGAGGTCTTACTGAGCGTCGTGAGCCTGCGTCGCGTCCTGTCTCGCCAGTTCGCTCTGGTCGCACCGTTCGTCGTGTCCCGCGTTCGAGGTCGCCGACTGTCCCCGGCACGCACCTTGTCGTCCGTCGTCCTTCCTCTGTTCCACAGTCTGTTCCTCTGCCGTCCCCTCCTGCGTCGTCTTTGCCTCACGTTCCGGACCCTGAGTCTGACCGGTTTCGTGCTGAGCACCCTACTGTCACGCGTCTACTAGCCACTGTTGTCACTGACCCCTCGTTTGAGTCTGCTGCTGCGTCTGCTTTGGTTGCTGAGCTTGTTGACTTTGCGGCTGCCTGTCGTCTAGACTACGCTGCTAGCCTTGTTGCTGAGTCTGAGTCTGTCTGTCCTCCGTCCGTCGGGGGTGAGTGTGCTCTCGGCACGGACGTCCTTGAGGACAGGCACGAGGACCTTGAGTGTCTTGCAGCCGCTGCACCTCATCTCGTGGCCATGCTGCTTGCCCCTGAGGAAGACCCGGATGCTATAGACATCCCCACACCGCGCTCTTACGCTGAGGCAATCGCGGGTGAGTACTCCTCTCAGTGGCAGGCAGCCATGGACGCAGAGATGGCATCCTGGAAGTCTACAGGCACTTACGTCGATGAGGTTCCCCTTCCCGAGGCGAACATCGTCGATGACATGTGGATTTTCAGGGTGAAGCGGTCGCCGGGTTCTCCGCCCGTCTTCAAGGCTCGTTACGTTGCTCGAGGCTTCAGTCAGCGAGAGGGAGTTGACTTCTTCCAGACCTTCTCCCCCACCCCGAAGATGACTACTCTTCGGGTGCTGCTGCACGTTGCCGCTCAGCGTGACTACGAGCTTCACTCTCTTGAATTCAGCACAGCTTTCTTGTAGGGCAGCCTGCACGAGGAGATCTGGCTGCGCCGCCCTCCTGGCTTCACTGGGTCGTTTCTTCCTGGTACCCAGTGGAGCCTCCGGCGGCCGGTCTACGGTCTCCGCCAGGCGCCACGTGAGTGGCACGACACACTGAGGACTACACTTGTGGCTCTTGGGTTCGCGCCTTCTACTGCTGACCCGTCGCTGTTTCTGCGCACCGACACTTCGCTGCCGCCGTTCTACATCCTCGTGTACGTCGACGACTTGGTCTTTGCCACTGCTGACACTGAGGCTCTCGCCCACGTGAAGTCCGAACTGCAGAAGAGACACACGTGCACAGACCTGGGTGAACTGCGCAGCTACCTTGGCTTGCAGATCACCCAGGACAGAGCACGCCGCACCATCACTCAAACCCAGTCACACATGGTGCAGCAGGTCCTTCAGCGCTTCGGCTTCGCCTGGTCCTCAGCACAGGCCACTCCTCTGGCTATAGGTCACTCGCTCTCAGCTCTGCCTTCGGATGAGTCCGTAGAGCCGAGTGGTCCTTACCCAGAGCTAGTTGGTTGCCTCATGTACCTGATGACTTGCACTCGTCCTGACCTAGCGTACCCTCTTGGCCTTCTGGCCCGCTACGTGGCTCCTGGTAGGCACCGAAAGGTGCACTGGGATGCTGCAAAGAGGGTACTGCGCTACTTGTGCAGTACATCGGGCATGGGGCTCGTGCTTGGAGGAGGGAGCCCAGTTGTTCTCACTGGGCACTCAGACGCTTCTTGGATTGACGACCGGGCTACACAGCGGTCGTCACAGGGTTACACCTTCAGTCTTGGCTCTGGCTCAGTTTCTTGGCGTTCTACACGTTCGTCTTCAGTTCTCAGCTCCAGTTGTGAGGCTGAGATCTACGCCACAGCCATGGCTGCTCAGGAGTTACGCTGGCTCACCTACCTGCTGACCGACCTGGGAGAGCGGCCTCGTTCTCCTCCAGTGCTGTACGTTGACAACAAGGCCGCCATTGCCTTGTGTGAGGAGCATAGACTGGAGCACAGGACGAAGCACATCGCTCTGCGGTACTTTCTGGCTCGAGAGTTGCAGCAGCGAGGTCAGCTTCGTCTGCGTTACGTGGCCACTCAGGCCAACACTGCTGATATATTTACCAAGGCACTTCCGCCTAGTGATCATCAGCGTTTCTGCACTTTGTTAGGGCTTGTGCCCACTTTTCCTCACTTGTTGTAGACTTTGCCTGTACTGTGATCTATATATATATATACCTGCATGCTTGCTAGATATAGATCATTGTGATGCTTGTACTATATATATGTCTCTGCATGTGAACTGGCCTTGTGGCTCTTTGCTTGTGCTCAGAATGTGTGGTGACGTTGTGATCCACCCTAAGCTTGCTTGCCTTTCTTGACTGGTCTTGTGACCCCTTGCTCTCCCCCACTTTGCCTATGGGGGTGTGTCAAACACTGTACATGTGTTATTGCTCTGTAGGTTACAGTGGGTTAGCCTTTATGGGGTACACAATTCTAGGGTTTGATACTTGTACTCCAATTCTCTCATAGTTCATTCACTTCGTGTTTCTGACACGCAAAAGTCCGGTTGACTACAGCAATACATCAAGAGCAAAGCCGACATGTGGGAGAAAGGGGGGGGAGCATGAAATGAGCAGAGCGTTTTGGTAGCGACGCCAAAAAGAGATGCGCATCCGGGGAATCGAACCCCGGTCAGTACCGTGGGAGGGTACTATGATACCACTACACTAGATGCGCACGTCGATACTTACAAAAACAAACACTTTGTGAAATAAACTTTGCACCCAATAAGCCAGATTACTTGCTGTCATAGTGTAACAAGTGCTTGTGACAACTTCAATGCCCCCACTGGTGCTGGTGGTGGTGGTGGTGATACGAAAGATTAGGAGAGGGTTGGGGGGATGAATACACTACCGGGTAGGAGGGTTTGTCCCTTCGAAGCCAAACGAGTTGCTCATGACAGCTCTCATGGGCTTAGATGCTGGCGCTGCTGCTGCTGGTGTTGCTGCTTTCTAGGGAGCTGGTGTTAACTTCACACGGTTCCAACTAAGTGAGTACACAGCGCTAGGCAAGGGGTGGGAGACCGAAGACAAGGGATGCATTAGTCCCTCTGAAGCCGACTTTTGAGTCGACTCAAAAGTCAAGTGATGCATTAGTCCCTCTGAAGCCAAACGAGTTGCTCATGGGCTTTGATGCTGCTGCAGCTGCTGCTGGTACTGTCAGTGATGCTCTTGCTGATAGAGTGAGTACACAGCGCTAGGCAAGGGGTGGGAGACCGAAAAAAAGTCATGCGTTTGTCCCTCCGAAGCCAAACGAGTTGCTCATGACAGCTCTCGTGGGCTTTGATGCTGCCGCTGCTGCTGGTGGCGTTGCTGCTTTCTAGGCTGCTGGTGGTGTTGCTGCAGCTCTCACACGGTTCCAACTAAGTGAGTACACAGCGCTAGGCAAGGGGTGGGAGACCAAAGACAAGGGAAGCGTTAGTCCCTCCGAAGCCAAACGAGTTGCTCATAACAGCTCTCAAGGGCTTTGATGCTGCTGCTGCTGTCGGCAGGAAGCTTCCTTGAAAGACAGGGTCTGGGTTGACGAGGTTGACATTAGGAGGCACTATGCCCTGTAAAAGTGGGAAGGGGGGAAGCGGAAGGGGGGTTGGAGAGGAGCGAGACGGATTGGAGGGAAGGGAGAAACGGAAGGGTTTGAATTAAAGAGGCTGACATTGGGAGGCACGATGCCCTGTAATAGTTGAGAGAGGGAGGGAGGGAGAGAAGGAATTTGGAAAGTGGAAGGGGGGTTTGGGGGAGTTGACTTGTTTGTTGACTCAGAACGCTAAGAGGTTGACATTGGGAGGCACGATGCCGTGTATTAGTTGAGCGAGGGAGGGAGAGAAGGAATTGGGAAAGTGGGAGGGAAAGGGAAGCACGGAGAGTTGACTCTTGAGCTTACTGAAAAGCCAAAGAGTCATGCGCATGCACATACACACAAGCACAAGCGCATGCACATGGCTGACATTGTAAGGCATCATGCCCTGAAGAGAGGAAGGACGCAGGTAGGTAGGAGAGGGATTGGAAGTGATCTTGTGAGCAACATGCACAGTACAATCTCAGACTCACATGGTTCATGCACAGTACAATCCCAGACTCACATGGTTCATGCACAGTACAATCCCAGACTCACATGGTTCATGCATAGTGCCACACTCGCATGGTGTAGAGGCGTCACAGCAACAGCTGCCTATACGACTCCTGCAGCTCTGATGCCATGACATTCGATGAAACACTTGTATCGTTCACATGAGCATCATGCACTCTACAGTGCTACACTCAGATGGTGTAGAGCAATGAGAGCAACAGAGCCATGACAGCAACAGCTGCCCCCACTGCCCCTGCAGCTATCATTCAATGTGAGCATGTGAGCATTGTGTACAGTACAGTGCCACACTCACATGGTGTAGAGCCATCACAGCAACAGCTGCCTCGACTGCCCCTGCAGCCCCCAACAGATGACCCATCGCTCCCTGCTCATACCACATCCACATGTAGACGAACATATTTTTGAGTCGACTCAAAGATCCTATTTTTGAGTCGACTCAAAGATGACCCATCGCTCCCTGCTCATACCACATCCACATGTAGACGAACATTAAGATCCGTACATGCACATGCACATACACACAAGCACATGCGCATGCACATGCACACATGCACATGCAGACGCACACACGCATGCTTAAGCACACAAGCACACGTGCACACCACTTTTGGTGCAAGGGACAACACAGCCACATCCATTCATGAGGTGCATCGTAAGTGAGGCAAATCCTAACCGAGGTGCCTCGACTCGAACCGAGCCGAAGTGAGAACTTCCAACACAATTTTAAGATGATGCAGGGATTTTTTTAGAATTCTCAAAAAATCCCTACTTCCAACACCATTTTAAGATGATAAATCACAACCTCGTTTGATGAGCCTGTGTTAAACTAAACACCAAGTGGACGAAAGCTGCATACTCTGCTGGAGACTCATGAAAGAGGGGAGCTGCGTACCTTACTGGAGGAGAAAGCGAGGGCTCCTGAGAGTGCGTGTTGGTCAAACACAGCCTTTAGCGCGAGAGCTTCTATCTCGTCACCTATGAACAAACAACACGAGGCACATGCAAGGAAACAATGCAGCACACACGTGAGGAGTATGCGTGAGGTACATGCGAGTTGAACCAAAGCTTCCATTGCCGCAAGTGGTTGCCGGTCGAACACAGCCTTGAGAGAGACTTTAGAGTCGACTCAAAAGTTGCCAGGGATTCTATTTCACCTCCTGCAGGGAGACGCGAGGGACATTTAGCGTGCCGAGGTCGAGGTGACTTTTGAGTCGACTCAAAAGTGTCGTGTGCCATTGTAACGAGGTGACTTTTGAGTCGACTCAAAAGCCAGGGATATTATCGCACCTCCTGCAGGGAGACACGAGGGACATTATGAGTGCCGAGGTTGCAAAGAATTTTGAGCGCCTGTTTCTTTTTAGGCGCCTCATAAATAGGTTCGTGTGAGCGCCGTCTAATCTGAGTGCTGGGGTCACAATGACATTAGATGGAAGGAGGATGGGGAGGAGTGGGCGGAGGTAAAACACTAATGGAAAGGTTTTGCTGCTTAGTGAGGGAGAGGAGGTGGCATGGGGTTGGCTTTTGCGTTGACTACTAAAGGAAAAAGAAGGAAAGAGAGGAATTAAAAGTCTAAGAGAAGGGGCTCACTCACCAAGGGGAGTGGAGGTGGCATGGGCATTGAGGTACCCAATATCCGATGGTTGCAGGCCAGCCTGCAGTAACCAGGGGTGGATAGAGGTGAAGATTGGTGGAGAGGGAGGAGAGGGAAAAAGGGGGGGCAAAAGGGTGGAGAGGTTAGGAGGTATGCAGAGAGACAGAGTGAGTGTTGAAGACCAGAGAATGGTAATGAAGGGCAGAGAGAGGGATGTGAAGAGGGAGGGACCAAGGAAGAAGAATCTACCATTGACGCTACAGTGGGACGTTGAGACCTTTAGTTGAGGACGAAAAACTAACATGGGACCAGCTCCTCCTTGAGAGGAGTGCCAATGAGGTTAATTTTAGTTGCTGTTAAATTTATAACAACAGCAACCTCTCCCTGGCTGAGCCGATGAGGTCATTTTCAGCGCCAATAAGCTGCGCCGGCTCATGTACGAAAGAAACCTTCCCCTGGCTACGATGCAATTTTTGAGGCACCTAAAAATTCCTCTCCCTGGCTGATCCGATGAGGTTATATGCAGCGGCGATGAGCTGCGCCGGCTCATCTGCGAAAGAAACCTTCCCTTGGCTTTCGAGAGTGGCTTCTCCTGCACTGGCTTTCGGCTACGATGCAGACGTACCTGCTGGAGCGATCGAGAGAGGTGCAAATCTCTGAGATTGAGAGCAGCTTAAAAGCAATGGTAGTTGTGCTCAAGCTCAGATCAGAGATATGCACCACTCTCAATCGCTCCAGCAGGTACGTCTGCCTGCATCATTGGTGGTCTTCAGAGATTCCCCTCGTCACACCTGCTTCTGAGACCACCAGCTCAAATCGTGCCTCCTAGAGAGCAGCTTGCATGCAGAACACTGCGCCAGTGGCGAGGGGGGACGGCTGTGTGATGTGGAAGTCAGTTGTAGGGCAACTGGTAGGTGGAAACAGCACGCGCCTCTGATGGTACTGCTGGTGCTTGCACTACGCACCTCCTTGAGAGCAGCTCGCATGCACAGCACAGCGCCCGTGGCGAGAGGAGATGGCTGTGTGATGTGGAAGGCGTCTGCTGAACTGCCTGCTCCTCGAACCTCGGCGTACACCTTTGCACCACGCTGCACCGCATGGTCTAGGTGCTGAGGGAAGGGGGTTAAGGGAGAGAGAATAGGGACGGAGGGGTGGAGGAGATAGGCTTGACACCGTAACACCCACTTGGACATGCTCACATCCTGAATTTTCGACATCTTCACACACTGACTGTCATCTTCACACACTGACTGTCATCTTCACACACTGACTGTCATCTTCACACACTGACACATGCTGTTGCCATACCGACACCTGATATCCTGATTAATTTGAGAACCTCACATAGCGACATGCCGACATGACATGCTGACATGACATGCCGACATGACATGCTGACATGACATGCTGACATGACATGCTGACATCCCCATACATACGCTTGCTCCCCTTACACCCTCCTATCCTCATACTCCGTCAGAGGACCCACCTCAAGCACCAAAACGCCTGCTCCCTCTGCCATTCTGCGAAGAGCGAGGGGAGGGTGCAGTGCAGCAGCAGGGAGTTTTTTTTTGGGGGGGGGGGGGAGGTGGTTAAGTCGACTCAGTTACAGAGCGCAGGGGGGCAGCAAGCAGGCGGGGCGGGGGGGCAGAAGGAGGAGGCACGTGTTGGGGAGAGATGCAGGCTAAGAAACGAAGGAAGAAAGCTTCGAGAGGTGTGAATGGGATGAGGGTGTGCTAAAGAAAGGGAATTAGCCATTGAGTGGCAATACGAGAAGGGGGATGGGAAAGGGCAAGGCACACACACGAATACCTTCTCTGGACTTGTCAAATGGCCGAGAGGAAACGGAAGAGGGGGGGGTTGGGAAGTGGTGCACATAGTAATGCAAGAGGAGCAATGGAAGGAGACACGGGGAAGGGGAGCAACGGGGAATCAAAGGAGGCAAGGCACGCACACGAAGCCATCTCTTGACTTGTCAAACGGCCAGGGCGACGTTTAGGTCAACTCAGAAATGCAGGAAGGAGGATGGTAAAGAGGGGTTTGGAAGAGGCCACGCACACGAAGCCATCTCTTGACTTGTCAAACGGCCGGGAGGCAAGGTGAGGCGTGTCGTTGAAGCGTGTGCTGAGAGCTCGCATGCTGGTAGGAGGGAGGCGAGGGAAGATGGGAGGGGACAGGGGCGGGGGGGAAAGTGTGGGAAGTAGGGGAAACGAATGGGTGAGCGCCGATGTATCTGTAACAAGATAAGTAAGTGAGTGTACACCCAAAGTGAGGCGTGTTGTTGAAGCGTGTGCTGAGAGCTCGCATGCTGGTGGGGGAGGGGGAAGCGGAGGAATGGAAGCAGGGGTGAAGTGGTGGGGGAGGGGAAACAGGGAGAGGGAAGCGAGGGGTTGGGGAGAGGGCGTAAAGGAGCAGGGTGAAGGACGGTGAGTGCATAAGTTGTGTGTTTGGCACAGAGGCATGCATCGATGCCATTTAACTTGCACTCTCAAGCTGACTGAGGCATGTCATTCAACTGAGTGTTGTTGAGATGAGAGCCCTGCTCACTGCCCAGTGCCCATCATTCAGCATCCATCCCCATGGCTCACCGTGAGAAGCCAGTGAGGGAAAGCGTGTCGATGCAGGCCTGTGTGCACCCCGACCACTGATCAGTGCAGGCCAGTGCAAGCGTGTCAATGCAGGCCAGTGCCCCATTGGCCACTGTGATAGCAGATCCTCGGACATTTTCCAGTGAGCGGCAGTACTTAGGTTCAGGCTAGAGCAAGTAGGAAAAGACAGTGAAATTCTAAAACACTGGCTACTAGTCAAGAGCTTGTGTGCACCCCGACCACTGATCAGTGCCCTGTTGGCCACTGTGAGAGGAAGCATGCTGCCCACTACCACCCACATCCTCCACCACTCGCTACCCACCGCGAAAAGCCAGCAAGGGAGAGGGCGTCGATGCATGCCTCTGTGCCGTCCGCCAGGATGACGTCAGCAGCTCAGGATTTTCAGAATACTAATAAAACACCCCACCAATCACTGCCCCCATGGCTCACCTCACCGGGAGAAACCAGCGAGGGAAAGGGCGATGAAGGCCTCTGTGCCACCCCTACCACCCACCTCACGATGACCGTCCTACCACGCACCTCCCACCTCCCATCCACTACTATCCACCACCACCCACCGTGAGAAGCCGGCGAGGGAAAGGGCATCGATGCAGGCCTCTGTGCCGCCCGCCACGATGACGTCAGCCGCCCCACAGCGGACCAATCGGAAGGCGTCTGCGATGGCATGCGCTGACGAGGCACACGCTGTTACTGAGGCATGGTTGGGACCCTGATGGGAGATGGGAGAGGGGAGAAAAGGAGAGAGAACAAGGGGGAACAAGGGAGAACAAGGGAGAACAAGGGAGAACAAGGGAGAACAAGGGAGAACAAGGGAGAACAAGGGAGAACAAGGGAGAACAAGGGAGAACAAGGGAGAACAAGGGAGAACAAGGGAGAACAAGGGAGAACAAGGGAGAACAAGGGAGAACAAGGGAGAACAAGGGAGAACAAGGGAGAACAAGGGAGAACAAGGGAGAACAAGGGAGAACAAGGGAGAACAAGGGAGAACAAGGGAGAACAAGGGAGAACAAGGGAGAACAAGGGAGAACAAGGGAGAACAAGGGAGAACAAGGGAGAACAAGGGAGAACAAGGGAGAACAAGGGAGAACAAGGGAGAACAAGGGAGAACAAGGGAGAACAAGGGAGAACAAGGGAGAACAAGGGAGAACAAGGGAGAACAAGGGAGAACAAGGGAGAACAAGGGAGAACAAGGGAGAACAAGGGAGAACAAGGGAGAACAAGGGAGAACAAGGGAGAACAAGGGAGAACAAGGGAGAACAAGGGAGAACAAGGGAGAACAAGGGAGAACAAGGGAGAACAAGGGAGAACAAGGGAGAACAAGGGAGAACAAGGGAGAACAAGGGAGAACAAGGGAGAACAAGGGAGAACAAGGGAGAACAAGGGAGAACAAGGGAGAACAAGGGAGAACAAGGGAGAACAAGGGAGAACAAGGGAGAACAAGGGAGAACAAGGGAGAACAAGGGAGAACAAGGGAGAACAAGGGAGAACAAGGGAGAACAAGGGAGAACAAGGGAGAACAAGGGAGAACAAGGGAGAACAAGGGAGAACAAGGGAGAACAAGGGAGAACAAGGGAGAACAAGGGAGAACAAGGGAGAACAAGGGAGAACAAGGGAGAACAAGGGAGAACAAGGGAGAACAAGGGAGAACAAGGGAGAACAAGGGAGAACAAGGGAGAACAAGGGAGAACAAGGGAGAACAAGGGAGAACAAGGGAGAACAAGGGAGAACAAGGGAGAACAAGGGAGAACAAGGGAGAACAAGGGAGAACAAGGGAGAACAAGGGAGAACAAGGGAGAACAAGGGAGAACAAGGGAGAACAAGGGAGAACAAGGGAGAACAAGGGAGAACAAGGGAGAACAAGGGAGAACAAGGGAGAACAAGGGAGAACAAGGGAGAACAAGGGAGAACAAGGGAGAACAAGGGAGAACAAGGGAGAACAAGGGAGAACAAGGGAGAACAAGGGAGAACAAGGGG